GTTCAAACTGCTAAACTGCTGCCACATCATCTGCTTAGAACGTGAGAGACAACGTTGCCAAATAAAGCGGTGTCATGGTTCATTGTGCTTGATAGTTGCAGCTGCAGGACAGTAAAAACACTCTAGACACATGTTCTTCCAGAGGATAAGAAACACAGATAGCACAATGCAGTGTGGTTTTGAGTGTGCTGGGAGAGGCTGTCACTTAAGGAAAAGCTGCTGTGAGGGCACTTCTCCCTGCCTGAGCTCCTGTAGGTTTTGCTGCCCTTTGGTCTTCTGAGCAAAGTGCCTGCTGCACTACTTTTTTCAGGGGACCAGGTACCAGGACAAGGTACAAGGCTACAAAAGAGAGAAGCATGTATTATTCTCTTTTTCTGCCTTGTCTTTTTCCTAGCCTCCCTTTCACTCCTCACCTCACTGACCAGTGTTTTTCCAAATGGAATACTTGAATCTTGTATGTCTCTGTCTGGGGGCATGTCGTCCTGTAGTCCTTGGCCACGTTAATCCCACCTGCAAAATCACTACTTGCATTTGCACTTGTAGGCAATGTAGTGTTAGGGTTGTTCCTGCTGCAGTTTCATCTCTTAATATTGTCAGGGTATTTATGGAATTTGCATGTATAAAGGTTTTTCCAACACTATTATTTTTCATCGTCTAAATTAATACACAGTCAATAGGAGGGAAGGCAAGAGATAAAGAAATTAAATGAAGATTTTATTTCTGTGATTCAACTTTAGCTGACAACAGATAAAAGAAAAATAATTCTGTATACTTGGGTAAGAAGCTGTGTAAGCAACTACTTTTCTCCCCCTCAGGCAGATATTTTATGCCTACTAGTGACGGAATCTCAGGGATCAGCTGAAATGCTGAGAATAAGGTTGGTTTGGCGTCACAGGTCATTTACTCTGCCACCTTCATGAAGCTTTCCTTGATTTGGACTGCCCTCACCTAGTCACTCTTCTCAAGTCCATGTGGATTTTGCTTGAACTTCAGTTTGGGTAGTATTGACTTCTTGTCTTTACTGCCTTGCTCATGCCAGGAACCACTTCTTCAGAAAGAAGACCCTAGATTGGAATAATTGTAAATTAAGATTGCCTGAAAGAGGCAGAACTTAGAATAAACACACACATTGTTGTGTGTGATGTACTGTCTTACAGAAAGAATCTGCCTAAAATTCATTGAGATAGAAACATCCTAGCACTACATAGAAGTCTTTGCCTCAATTTGGTATTGCACATTATACATACACTTAGATTACATATAAAAATGTGGCAGCATATAACAATTTAAAGCTGCAAATAACTAATTGGCTGGTGATGTCTAGGCCAAATTTGTGATTACATCAAGATTTTCCAATGAATTGTTGTTGAATTTCATGTGAATTATTGCATAATGCATGAAGAAAGGATTAAACACGGTACTTAGCATGAGCCCAACTGTATTCTATTCTCACATATTTCCAGTCTGACTTCAGGCAACCTAATTAACCCCTCCATACCTTTTTCATGGTCTCTAAAATGGGCATAACCAATCTGTATATAGGGAGCACTGTAAGATTTAGCTCATTCTTCTTTGTAAAGCACTTTGAGATTCTTGGATGGAAAGTGCTCTATAAATGCAGATAGAAGGACAGAGTTCTAACTGTGCAGTTTTAAAACTCTCTGCATGTTTTTGTAATTTACAAGCCTTTGTTGGTCGTGCCATGAAAAACAGAGAGACTAACTTATGTTTTCAGTGCAATACAGAGAACACTTCTTCAAGTTCACAAGTGACTTCAAGCTCAGAACATGTAACGTCATATTTTCAGACACCTCTTTTTTGCCTTTCCTTGCAATGAAAGAAGGAAATACCCTTCACATACATGCAACTCATTTGAGCAAATGAAACCTGTTCTGATTTCTGAAGCTGTGTTCTAAATTTCACACATTCACTTTCTTCCAGATCACCACAGACCTGAGGCAGCGTTGCACAGACAGCCACACTGGAACCTCAGCCTCTGCACCTATGGCTGCAGGCATCATTGCACTGGCACTGGAAGCAAAGTAAGATCTGAGTTATACTCTGGGGGGTGTTCTTGGGGGGGGGGGGGGGGGGAAAGCATACAGAAAGGTCTTTCTCACTCATCCAGCACCTTTATTCAGGGATCTCAAAGTGCTTTGGAAACGTTGTTGTGGTAATTCACAGTACCCTTCCATGGGCAGGAAAGATCCGTGTGATGCAGGAAGGCTGACACTGGAAATGACGGCGGAGTACTCAGTGTTGAAATAACTTGAAATGGTGTTGAGCACAAGTAGTTTCCAGTAAATGATATATGGTATCCTCACCATGTCTTACAGTACCCTCACAGTGCTGCCTGTATCTGCTGTACTCTACAGGCTACTGTAGGTTGTCTCTTGGATCCGTCAGGCTCCTCTTAGCAGTGTCCATTCTTGAACACAGAAGAAAGTTTTGGAATGCCGTTAGGCTGCCATGAACAGAAATAAATGTAGTATGAAAATCAAAATTCTGAACTTCTGCTTGCTGACACAAGTCTGTTTTTTCTAATGTAATAAGTACGTCAGTTATAAAAAAACATGGATGGTGTAAGTCCATGATCTTGTTAACTTCAGCTCAGAAAAAATTCCATCTTACAAGCATGTTCTTAACTGCAGGATTTTGTTCGTTGTGTCTAACATAGATCTTTAATGTGCTTTACGGAGCAGCAGAAATACTGGAGATTCATGAGTAAATCTGTATCTCAAAACATTTTGCGTTACTTTGTGCTGTGTTGGATAATATTTGCAGGTCTGAGGTGGAATGCTCTACGCCAAATCCTGCTTGGAATCAGATGTTTCTGAGCACTAGGAGATCGATTCTATTATATTCTGAAGAAAACCAGGTTGCTCTGGGGGCACATCCTTTGAAGGAAGTAAAAAATTTGCATACAATAGTCATTTCAAATTGTATGTAAGTCATAGCAGCAGAATTACGTTTCCCTTTTTTTGAAGAAACCATGGGCCGATATTCAACATGGAATACTTTTTTGCTGTTGAGTTAGTAATTGGATAGCTGACCTAATCTTAAGTAGTGCATTGCTTGTATCATTACAATTAGGTTTTCTTAATGCAGTCATTAGAAAGAAAGGTATTTTGAAGTTAATATCATGCGATTTTTTTAAAATACTCTTTTTAACCTCTTCTTAGTCTCAGTTTTAAAGTCCTTAAATTCATTCTAAACAATCTGCACATGCAAATAAAATTGCATGTACACAAATTTCAGTCTGCTGAGAGTTTTTCAAATTATTTCTTAATGAGCAGAGGTTCCTTGTAATTTATGGTTTATATTTTATATGCTGTTTTGTGTGCATTTTCTAACAAATAATTGTTGAAACTGAAAGTTTTAAAGAGTTATAGCACACAGTGCCTACAACCAAGCTATAGCTGATTGTGACATCTTAAAACACACTGAGGAGCTTACACTTTACACAGCCTTTTTGTCTCTGTGAACTGGGGTGACTGTATCAATGGGAAACATGTATTACTGCCTGTGGACTAGTTTGTTGGGGTTTTTTCCAGGTAAATAGTTGCTATGATAGGAATAAACTAAGACAAGATGATATTAAAGCTTCACATGCAGCGATGGCGACAAAATGTGCCAGTGACTAAAGATCCTGGTCACTTTTTTGTATTAGCAGTACTCTGTTACATGGTGCTAACAGGAGACGGAGGGTGAAAATGTATTGGTTTTGCCTCTTTTCAGATTTTATTCGCTTTCAGTATATGGAGGGTTATCTTACTGATTTCCAAATCTTAGCCTGTGTATCTGAATAGGTTCAAAGGAATTATGTTAATAATATCATAAATGTGATTTTCTTCATGTATATTCCATTCACTAACTTTTCTCTCCTGTGTGTACTTACAACCAATTTTCTGCACACAGCCACCATCAAGAAATTAATAGAGCAGGAAGGAGGTGGGCAGTGGGGAAGGAAACTAGGAAGAGAAATATTTTCAGGTTTCCCATGCTGCTTTTTTCCCCTAAATTAATCTAGTCCAGTCCTAGGGTTGGTAAAACCTTTGGTCTCATGAAGTTAGAGAATATGAATTCTTTAAATATTACAAGGGGATCGTATTGTAATATATTCAGTTTTAATATCTGGGATTTGTTTTTATAAAACCTATGCAGATTATTTTAAGCAGTTTCTGAATGGTAATTCTTATTTAGTTATCTGATGTGAAAATTCAAGTTGTATTTTTCACCTGTGGTACGTACCAATTTAGGGGATCCTAAATAAATGCTAGGAATTAAAGTATGCAAAAAGAAGTGTTGAAGCCATCTTAAGTATTTTCTCCAATATTTTTAAGATATGTGTAAATATGTAAATGACACATGATATTGTGGCTTAGCATAACGGCTTACTGGAACCTGTCTGCATTCAAACAAAGTTTGCATTTACATAGGTTCTTCCTTGGCTTTCATATTAGGGCCTGTGCTAATAAGAGTAATGTTTGTATGGGATTTTTTTTTTTTTAAACTCATTGGAAAGGGATTTTGCAAGGTTAATTATGCTCTTTGTAAATCAAGCTGCTTAAAAATTGGAGCACTTAGTCCTGGACACTTCTTGAGTATGTCTGTAATAATGCATACTTTTTTCATTCCACTTTTTTTAACATACACTTTTTAAATTCCACTTTGTGCTGGAAAACACAATAAATTACACCAAGGAAGGGTTTTGAGCTTACAAGGTCAGTTTTCTCCAGTAGCCAAGTTCTGTTCCTGGGATACATCAGGACGTGAACAGAACACTAGTCTGGCCTGGATATGAGTTAGAACAGCCAAGAGGTTGCTTCAACTCGCAAGCAAAGGTACATAAAACCAATGGAAAATACGTAAGGCAGATTTCCACTCCAACCTGCCACTTTATTTCTTTGATAAGCCCCATATGGTAGGATTGGGAAATAGCTGATGGAGTGTCTCTTACCTGCCTACTGATTTGAACCCTCCACTTAGCTTTTTCCAGATGGGATTTGCTCCTGAAGTCCTGGCAACATGTTTATTTGTGATGGTGGTCTGCTTACCACCCCAGTTTCAAATAATGTGAATGCATCTCTTTTACAAATTGCATTTTCTTTCCAGAGTTTTGATTATCAAGTAAAACAAGGAGAAACCAAGAAGAAACCAAGAAGCAAACCAAGAAGTGTAATTGAATTTCAGATTACTTGTTTGGAATCCCCAAGGGCATAATACAGAAATGTAGATTTGCAACAGGGACACAAAGACAGACATCTCTTAATCTTCATATTCTATGGTTTTCTTATGGTATTCAAGTAGTTATTTTTTATCTGATGGGTCCCAGTGTATCTAGTGTCCTGTTCAGGCTCTAGAAATAAATGCTTGCTTGTGTATTGCACTTCTTAGTCATTACATAATGTTGAATTTTGCTAATTATCGACCAGAAATTATGGGTATAATCAGTTTATTCAGCAGAGGCAGCAATATTCTTGCTAAAAATAAACTATCTGCATTGCATAGTACTATCTACTGTTGATATCAGAAATATCATTTCTTCATTGATGAAATCTTTGCATTTGGAATTTGGGTGAATCAGTGAGGACACACAATATGTTCACACTTGTTCCAGTGGTCATTGTCCCATATTCTTTTAGAGAAGCCAGATTTCAAAGTCTTATGTTGCTGACAGAATAGTACATTATACATCCCTAAGTGAACTGCATGCTCCACCATCTATGAACCAGTGGATGTTTTCCAACCCATGGTGTATAAATCACAGTTACACAAGTAAGAAGTAGGACCTGAAGTGGAAGTATTAATCTGTTGTTTCTACTGTGTGCTGTACTCAGTGGTAGAGTTTTGGAGGAGTCTGTTTTCTTCCATGGTTCTCTCCACATGAGCTGTATACTTCAACTTTCTTTGGTTACGTGAAACCAAGGGTAGAACAAGGTAGTGCTGGGAAGAGAGAAAGAATTTCATTCTGATACTGGCAGTCCATTCAGAAAAGTGACAATTCACCACATTCTCCTAAAAGGCAATATCACCAACTGTAATCACTGAGGTGAAGGAGAAATGGACTTCACGTTGCAAGGGGTCAGGAGTGTCAGAGGAAGGTACTTTGGATTTCTGAAGACTGATCAGATACTTCCCATATTGATTGATTTTCTTACAGAAAGGAGAAGAGCAGTATTTTGTCTGGCAAGGGGCAGTTTTGAGTACAAAGAGTATATTTCTGTGTAATCAAAGTTATGAGGAATTTGCTTATTCACAAATATAGAATGAGGCTAAAGATGATGAGACAGTTGGGGCAAATTGTAGAAGTGCTGTCAAGTGACCTTTGTTTGTAGGCTTCCAGTGTAAGAGGTTATCATTGAAGTCCATCAGCTTCAGCTAGGTCTTTGCTCCTTTAGTTGACTGCCTATTAGAAAAGAGGAACACTCGAGTGTGTGACTTAGAAATCTTTTTGTGAATCTTTGAAATTTTGCAGTAGTTTTAAAGTAATGCTCGTGATGGTGAAGTATTTGAAACACGTAAACATAAATAAGTGCTTAATTTAGAACCTGTGTTTCTTTTGAGCCTTAACCACCTGCTCCACTTATGCAGTTTCAGTTACTATACTGAGATTGACTTGGAAGTACTTCCCTGAATTCAGGTTGCCCAGGGTTTCCCATCTTAAGGTCCTGTTTTCAGTTACATGCAACTTTGCCAAAAAATAATCGTTCCGTCTGAAATTTTCCATGTAACTTACTTTAAAAAGGTTTTAAGAAAATTCCATCCAGACATTTCTTAAACTGTGTCTAGGTTTAAAAAAAAAAAAAAGTTTGACTCTGATCGTTTTTAACTTTTTCATTGAGTTTTACTGTGTCTGCGTTTTGGAGCAACAGCTAGAAATAGAACAAGGGGATAGTCGTTGTTCTGGTGCCAGGGCAATGCCTTTTACTTTCACAAGCTTTTCAGAAATCTCAGTTGGCATGTGCTCAGTTGAGAGTTTTGTTTGGCAGCTCTATCCCTGTAGTTTCTTCTTTCTCCAAGTATTCCCCAGCCTCAGCTT